GCCACGCCCGCCTCATTGCCCTCTCTGCCTGGCTTCACCTGGCTTCTCGCTGGGTCTCTGTGTGCCCTTCTTCTCTATCTCTGAGGTCAATCTGGTTGGACTGAAGCTCTACCCTCTGCCAGCAGCCTGTCATCTCCAGCCTTCCTTTCATTACCACTGCAAGGACTTGATTTCCAAATATGGCCGCATTCTGGGGTGGAGAGGGACATGCATTCTGGCGGGACACCATTCACCCCCAACAGAGCTCAGAGCCCAGCGCCAGGCTTTCATACCCTGACCTGCCCCAGCCATGGGTACTTGTGAGCTTAGCCAGGATTTGACAGAACATTCGCAATTCCCTCTGAAGAATAGGCGGTTTATGGAATGTCTCAGAAAACATCTTGTAGGTGGCTACCAGGTGCCCCCGGGCAGGTGACCGGAATCGCGGCTCTTTTGGCATAGCACAGGAGAGTGATGTGTAAACAGGTCATTATAATACGTCTACCTATCAGACTGTGAGAGCCAAGGACCCTATCCAGAACAATGTTTCCAAACTGTTGACTTGGTGCTCTGGCCGCCGCCTGCCCCCTGGCCTTGCCCTCCCGGCCTGGCAGCCGGGCCTGGCTGGCTGCACACAGGTTAATCTTTTCTCGTTGCCCTCCTCTCAATCCTGTCTACTGTCTCTTTCTGGCCTTTATCTTTCTTGGATGTACCTCAGCTGGCATACCTCTATTTAATTTTTATTTTTCCCTTGGTGATGGATATCTGTGCCCTTTTTCAAAAGACAAAATAAGCTGTTTAACCTCCCTGCAGTAAGTGGGGCATGGGGGCGGGGAGGGAGGGTGCTGTGGTGTAGGCAGCCTTCCTGGGTATTGCCAAAGCAGTTCCTGACTCCCATGATTAATTAGCTCACCATATATTTTCTTAAGGCATACCTTTCTATCCATCCCTGTTCTTGTCTTCTTGGCCCTACTCATAAAAGGGTGCTGAACTTAAAAAACCAGGTTGTTTAAATTTATGTTTTTAAGAGCTCAGTAGAAGAGGCACACAAGATGTGGTTTGTTGACTGACTGAATATTGTGTTTGTTGGATGAGTTGAGGACAGTGTTACACATGTGGACCTCTTTGGCAAGGCTGAACTCATCATTCAAAAAATTCCTAAGATGATGGTTCTCAAAATGAGCAAGTGTAGCACCAGTGGCTCACGCCTGTAATCCTAGCTACTAAGAAGGCTGAGATCTGAGATCATGGTTCAAAGCCAGCCTGGGTAGGAAAAGCTATGAGACTCATCTCCAATTAACCAGAAAAAAGCCAGAAGTGGAGCTGGCTCAAGTGGCTCAGGTGGTACAGTGTCAACCTTGAACGCAAAAACTCAGGGACAGCGTCCAGTCCCTGAGTTCAAACCTCAGTGTGTGTGCACGCACGTATGCACGCATGTGTACACACACACACACACACACACACACCCAGCAAGTATATGGGAATTCTATAGCTAATGGAAGGCTGTAAAACAGGAATTCTCAGCCCCAGCGTTCTGGCTTGGTGAGCCTAAGGAGACTGCCTAGTGATGATATTTTGTGGAAGGTTCCAGGTGTCTGGCCTGTAGCTGGGTTTAGATTTGTCACACCCAGATTGTACCCTCCATGAACCAAGTCTGTCGATAAAATTGCTGTCTTCCGGGTAAGATCAGCCACTTTTTGTTGTTGTTGTTGTAGTTGTCGGTCCTGGGGCTTGAACTCTGGGCCTGGGTGCTGTCTGCGTGCACTCTTCAGCTCAAAGTGAGTGCTCTACTGTTTAAACCACAGCGCCACTTCTATGTTCTGGTGGTTTATTGGAAATAAGGGTCTCACAGACTTTCCTGCTGGGTCTGGCTTTGAACCGTGATCCTCAGATCTCATCCTCCTGAGTAGCTAGGATGACAGGCGTGAGCCACCGGTGCCCGGCTGAGATCAGCCACTTTTGTCCTGAAGTGCTGGAATGTGTGGCATAGGCTGAGAGTCACCGCCCATGTTTCAGGCCATGTTTCGTGGCTCGGGTCCTGCCCCTGACCCAGCAGCTCTGCAGGGCCTCTGGGGAGGGTCGTTTCTAGCAAGCTCCTGTGGGGTACCACCACCACCTGCTGCGTCCCTGCTTTGGGAACCTTGGCACTCCCCATCCCATCCTTCCCCAGGGAACCTGCTCCTTCACGCGGAGTGCTCCCCTCCCTCTCCTCCATTGCTCACTGAGGGTGGGGCAGGCGCCAGGCCTCCTGCTGTTGGCTGCCATCGGGACCAGAGTGCCTGGACTCAGGCGGATCCCTCTCTATGGCTTGGCTTGCTCTGGTATCTTTTTCTGACCCTGACCCTGGGGCTGAGTGCAATGAGTTTTCCCGCCCCACTGAAGGCAGGGTGGGGCTGGCCGAGGCTGGGGACCTGGGACAGGTCTCATCACAGGCTGCTCAGAGCAGGGGGCACAGGCTGTGAGCCCTGAGCTCGGCCCTCCCCTCCTCCTCTCCCCTTCTCCTCTCCTCTCCTTCCCCCCAGCTTGCTCCTCACAGGGGGCTTCATGCTTTCCTGAAACAAATCATTTGCCCTCCAGATCTGGGCTCTGGCTATCACTTGGTTCAAGGGGCACGATCTTCTAGTAACCCCAGGTTTAGCCCGGGGTACAAAAACAGGGACTGTCCCAGGAGAACATAAAGCCTCTTTGTTGGGCTGCCTTATCTAGAGCACTTCACAATCGGAGGCAACATGCCCACTGCATGGGCCTGTTTCTCTGGGCCTGGTAAGCCTGAGCCAGAGCCCTCAGAGCTGTCTGTTCATCACAAGTCTGCCCTGCAGCGCCAGGATGCTTCTCCTAGGCTCCCCTTCCTTCCCCTCCCCTCCCCTGTCCCTCCCTAGTGGTGGTGGTGGTAGTGATGGTGGTAGTGGTGGTATATGTGTTGTGTGCCAATCCTGGGGCTCGATTTCAGGGCCTGGGCACTGTTCCTGGGCTTTTTTGCTCAAGGCTAGCACTCTACCACTTGAGCCACAGCGCCACTTCTGGCCTCTTTGGTGGTTCATTGGAGATAGAGTCTCATGGACTTTCCTGCCTGGGCTGGCTTCAGACCTCCCCCCTCAGATCTCAGCCTCCTACGTAGCTAGGATGACAGGCGTGAGCACGGGTCCCCCGCTTTATGTTGCTCTTGTATAGCTGCACTCTCCTCCACCTCTCTGGTCCTGTCTCCCAGCCCTCGTTAATTTATTCTCCATCATTATAATTCTTCTATTTCAGGAATATTGTATAAGTGGACTTAGATATTGCCTAACCTTCAAAGGCTACCTTTAAAAACAAGCAAACAAACAGCACAATTTCCTAGAGATTCATCGAAGGCCTTAGATGCATCAAGAGTCCATTCTTTTTAACTGATGAGTAATATTCTATGAAATGGATATACCACAGTTTTCCAACGTTGTGGAAAAATTATATATAAGGCTGCTAGGAATATTTATGTGGGCTTTTATGTGAAGGTAAGATGGAAATTGTTATGTTCCATTGAATGAAAATTATTTTCTGGAGTGGTACTGACTTATTTTGCATTCTCATCACTAATAAAAACAAGAAATGAATAACAGCAAGTTATGAACACATGTGCATGTATGTGCGCATGTGTGCATGCACATACACATACACACCAAATGTAAATATCATATCAAGGATGTAGTTTCTGACATGGTGAAAATTCAGAAGTCTCCTTCTGGCAATGTGCAAAGAATGGTCCAGTTTCCCCATCTTGTCACCAGCATTTGGTGCTGTCATCCTGACAAAAGTTACGCCCGCTGCCCAGTATTCTGGGGAGTAAGTCTGAATTTACTGACAACGCTCAATTTGCTTCTGGATAAGCTTTGCAAAATTAATTCTTAAAAAACCCTATATACTGTTTTGCCCAAAAAATGTTGTTTGTGCCTTTAAAAACTTAACTCTGGGCTGGGAATGTGGCTTCGTGGTAGAGTGCTTGCCTAGCATGCAAAAAGCTCTGGGTTCAATTCCTCAGTACCACATACACAGGAAAAGCTGGACGTGGTGCTGTGATTCAAGTGGTAGAGTAGCTAGCCTTGAGCAAAAGAAACTCAAAGACAGTGCCCAGGCCCTGAGTTTAAGCCCTAGGACTGACAAAAAAAAGACTAATGCTGAGCTGTCTCTGGGCTTCATGATTTGGGAAGTATATGCCTCTGTGCATTGCCTTTGCAATAAGGACTCCTATGATTTGGCTTATTAATTGTGGCATCCTTTGTTTCTTGCTGATTGAGTTACAACATGGTAAAGTATTATTCTGGCTTAATTTGACATAGATCTATTCTAGTTGTGTCTCCCATTTTGGTTGAGTTGTTCTAGTTTGTGATTTTTGAGGAATTGTTCCATTTCTTCTAAATATTCACATTAATGATCATAAGGTTGTATGTCACTTTTCTGCTTTTCTTCTGTGCAGTGCTACCTACCTTTTTGATCCTGATACCTGAGATTTGTATCTTCTGTCCTTTTGAAACTTTTCAGTGTTGCTGGAGGTTTATAAACCTGATTTTTTAAAAATTTTAAAGACAGAATCAGCTTTTGGCTGGGAGGTGTAGCTTAGTAGTAGAGAGTTTACCTGGCATGCATGAGGTCATGGGTTCAATCCCCAGCATTGAAACAACCACCATCAAAGACCTAACTTTTCATTTCATGACTTTTAATGTGGTTTTCCTGGTTTCAATCTTATTAGTTTCTGGACTTTGTTATTTCCTTCCTTCTGCTTGCTTAGAGCTCGTTTTCTTCGTTTTCTGGTTGGAACAATGAACATGCAGTTAACAAAAAAGAACATTAGGAAGTTGAGACAGGTCTGGGCCTGGGTGTGGGGAGTAGTAGGAGGGGGCAGGCCAATGGAGAGGGGGATGGAAGGGAACTATAGTCAGAATAACCAGGCTTCGGGGGTGAAAATGGAACAAAGAAACTCCATGAGACTAGCAGGGGAGGGGGAGGGAGGGAAGGAGAAAGGGGAGACTGATTAAGATGCTATGTTTAGTGCTCACTTCTGCAGCATGAATTAAAGTTGGAATGATACAGAGATGACTAGCATGGCCCTTGTGCAAGGATGATAGACAAATTCATGAAGTGGTCCATATATTTAATGCACTGTATATATAAATGGACATGTTAAAACGAACCTTCAATGGACAACTCACAAAACCCCCAACCCACCATGGAAGCAAATGATAGCAAAGACAGTGACAGGCTTTTAGCTTCTGTGGGAAGTGGAAACACTGTGTTCTGGCAGCACACGATACTGCAGTTTTATTTAAAGTCCTCAGGTAGATGGAAGGTGAAAACGTAAATGTGTACAAGTACTCAAGGTATTCACAAATGGCCACCATGTGTGAATGCACAAGATGTGCTTAGTGTTTAGGTATTCTAATTTTTTTTGGTGCCGGTACTGGGGTTTGAACTTAGGACCTTGTGGTTTTGCTTAGCCTTTTTGCTCAAGACTAGCACTACCCCTTGAGCCACATCTCCCCTTTTGACATTTTGCTGGTTAATTGGAGATCAGAATCTTTCAGATTTATTTGCCTGGGCTTCAAATGAGGATCCTCAGATCTCAGCCTCCTGCATACCTAGGATTACAGGTATGAGCCACCAGTGCCCAGCTCAAAAGATAACCAAACCTTGGTTCTACCAAGATGGGGCAGCCCCCTTCCTCCTGGAACTCCCTGTGCAACTACAAATCCCTAGACATAACTTTAACCAGATCCATTATGATTTTACCTTGTTAGGTGATGAGTATTTTTGTTATTATAAACATTCCTTTCTTTGGCAATCCTGGGATTTGAACTCAGGGCATGGTTTTTGCTAAGCAGGTGCTTTGCCACTGGATCCATGTTCCAGGTCTTTTTTGCTTTTCTCGTTTTTCAGATCAGGTCTCACTTTTTTTTTTTTTTTGCGTAGGGCTGGCCTAAAACTGCAGACTTCCCACGTGGCCGGGATCATAGGCGTGTGCTACCAGGGGCTGGCATTTCAGTTTTTGCCTGGACTGGTCTATTCTCCCAATCTCTATCTCCCCCTACTTTACAGGTGGGAGCTACCATACTAGCCTCCCATACACTTTTAAGCTTTGTGAAGGATGCAGTCACTGGAAATAGTTAGGCTGGGCTAGAGCAGGGCTCTTTGTAGACAAATTCATCCTCATGACAGAAGCAAGACTTTCCTGAACACTCCATGTCATAATGCATGAGTTCTGAGCTTTTTCAGGCAGACTGGAGGGCACTAGTTCTCTGTCATGTGGGGAGAGAGTATCAAGTACTATTTCCTCTACTTCTTTCATGTGGTTCTTTCCCCAGCCTTGGTGGTTTTCCCGTGCCCATGCACTGGTCAGTGCTGGGCTGACTCCTTGCAGTAGACCCTCTGTACGACTCTGTGCCTTCCGCTCTGGGGAGTTCTGTTCTCTGTCCTAGGAACTCAGGCTGCTTTGGGCTTCTCAGCTCTTAGCATTGTGTTCTCAACATAGGGAGTTTGTGAAGCCCTACCTCAGTTTCCATTCTTGTGCCACATCCTACAAATACCATCAGTGTAATTCCTGGGCCTCCCTTGTTTATTTTCTGTGTTTTAGAGCTCTGTCTGCTATTCATTGCGTGGTACCTCACATCTTGCTTGTGTATAACCTGGCTCCTTGATCTCTTCAGATGAGACCTCAGATCCGTTCTTGTACTCCTTCTTGATTAGAACATCTGCACAGCTTTAGAAAGGACGTGGTCAGGGCCTAACCCCACCCATAAGCTCTGGAGTGAGCACTGAGAACCCAGTGCACAAGAATAACTAACTTAGCTGGGCATTAGTGACTGACACTTCTTATCCTAGTAACTCAGGATAAGAGATCTGAGGATCATGGTTCAAAGCCAGCCAGGAAGAAAGCTCTGTGAGACTGTTATCTCCAATTAACTGCCAAAAGGATATAAGTAAGTAGAGCTGTGCCTCAAGTGGTAGAGTTCCAGCCTTGAATGAGAAAGCAAAGAGACAGTGCTCAGGCCCTGAGTTCAAGCCCCAATATGGGCATATATACACACAAAATAGAGTGACAAGTTAGCACTGGTGACTCCTATACACCAACCACCCCTCCAACTGACTCTGACTCTCACCCATGTCCTGATAATAGAAGTGATTTCTGATTCGTTTTTTTTTTTTTTGTTTTTTTGTTTTTTTTTGTCAGTCATGGGGCCTGAACTCTGGGCCTGGGCGCTGCCCCTCAGCTCTTCAGCTCAAGGCTAGCGCTCTACCACTAGAGCCACAGCACTACTTCCAGCTTTTTTTGCTTACGAGGTGTTGAGGAATCGAACCCAGGGTCTCATGCATGCAAGGCAAGCACTCTACCACTGAGCCACCTTCCCAGCCCTCTGATTAGTTTTTTTTGTTGTTGTTGTTGGTTGTGGATCTTGAATTCACAACTTGGCGCTGTCCCTGAGCTCTTTGGCTCAAGGCTAATGCTGTACCACATTGAGCCACAGAGCCACTTCCAGTTTTCTAGTGGTTCATTGGAGATGAGTCTTTGAGGACTTTCCTGCCCAGGCTGGCTTTGAACTGGGATCCTCAGATCTCAGCCTCCTGAGAATTACAGCCACCAGTACCCAGTTTGAAGTGATTTCTTATGAACAATTCCCACCCATGCTTGCTATTTTAGATATTCTGTACAATTTTATATTTGTAACAAAACCTTGGTTTGGCGAAGGTATTCTTATCAGCATCTCACAGAAGAGAAGACTGAGAGTTGGAATAAGCACAAGCATCTACTGCTAGTCATTGCAGGCTAGTTTTCTAGCGCGGCCCCTGCCTGTCACACCACCCGACACCCCCAGCTGCAGAGCGCGGGCTCTGTGAGCAACGCGGGCTCTGCCTTCACCATCACTCCTATTCCCTGTGATTTACTGGGTTTCCGAACGCTGCCCTTGTGTGTGCAATGACGTTGACATCTGGAGGCTTCTTTTCCTTTCTTGGTTATGATATTTTTGTTGTTCTTTCAGTCCTTTTAAAGAAAAATTGGAAAAATCACGTATGAAACCCAAAAGCACACAGATAGCATGAGTAAGAAACAAAGAGCGTGCATTGCGCTTACCGGCGGCTTTAAGAAGACATTGAGGACATTAACAAATTATTATTTTTGTTTTTACAGAAACTTCAGGTGAGGCTGAGGCTCAGGTGCTCTGGTTCAGCTCCCCAGAATGTTTCATTTGCTAAGCTCTGGGATCCAGATCCCCTGGGGGACAGGACCCCTCTCTCCACACCCCCCCCCTCCTCCACACTAGGTGCTTTGAGAGGAGGCATTTGGCTATTTACAAAGGAAGGAACACTTTAGGTCTGTTGTGTAGCCAAATGTAGAGCAAACAAAAATGGAAATGCCTCTGTGGGAAGGAAGAATGGAGCAGCTGTGACCGTGCTGGCCGAGCAACAGCTCGCTTTCTGTGCCCGGACTCAGAAACTGCGGAGGAATCACGCCAAGTGTTTCTCTGTTCTGGTGTGCGGCCCACAGGGTGGCCATCTTGAAAGTCGTGCCCTTGTCCGTCAACCCTCTTGCGGAGATGAACACAGCATCTCTGTTTCTCTCAAGAAAGTCACCTGCAGGCCTTCTAAGAGAGACCACAGATGCACAGCTATAAGGAGAATTCATTCTTTTCTAAATCACTGGGAGAACTGTCCATCATACGTGGCTGCTCAGTGTGCAAAGTCCCGTGGTGGTAGCTCTTGTAGTGAAAGGAGTCATTGTACTCACACATATACCAAAGCTCATGCACACACGTGCACATATGGCAACCTCTCCCCACCCCCCCCTAATAATGGAGATTAAACTCAGTGCCTTGTGCTCATTGGTATGCCCCAACCATTTTTGCTTTAATTTCTCTTTCAGATAGGGTCTCACACTTTTGCTCTCCAAATCCTCTTACTGTTCCCTCCCTGGGAGCTAGCAAGTGCCACCATACTGGTCTCCTTTTTATTTTGAAGAAAGAGATGAAGCAATATATTTTCTGATATTGAAAATCAATTCTGTACTCAATGTGAGAGCCACTGCATGTACTTACCTCTTCTCTATTTCATATCCTTCCTTCCTTCCTTCCTTCCTTCCTTCCTTCCTTCCTTCCTTCCTTCCTTCCTTCCTTCCTTCCTTCCTTCCTTCCTTCCTTCCTTCCTTCCTTCCTCCCTCCCTCCCTCCCTCCCTCCCTCCCTCCCTTCCTCCCTCCCTTCCTTCCTTCTTTCCTTCCTTCCTTCCTCCCTCCCTCCCTCCCTCCCTTCCTCCCTCCCTCCCTTCCTTCTTTCCTTCCTCCCTCCCTCCCTCCCTCCCTCCCTCCCTTCCTTCCTTCCTTCCTTCCTTCCTTCCTTCCCCCTTCTCTCTCTCTCTTTTCTTTGTGTTGATTCAAGGGTTTGGACTCAGGGCCTCATGCTCTTGTTTGGCTTTTTTTTTTTTTTTGCTCAAGACTAGTGCAGAGGCACTTGTGCCACACCTCTACTTCTGCCCTTTTCCTAGTTAATTGGAGATAAGAATCTCTTGGGCTGGCTTGAAATGTGTTCCTCAGGTCTCAGCCTTCTGAACAAGCAGGATTACAGGCATGAGCCAGCAGTGCCCTGCTAACTTATCACCTTTCTTCTCTCCTCATTTCCTATGATTCTGTGACCTGTGGGCAAAGCGGCTGCATGTTTGGGCTTCGCATCTTCTCTGTGCCAAGAAACCCAGCTCATGGGTGAGAATGCATCTCCATTTTCTACTTAGGAAGAATGCATCTATGGGTTTCAGGCTGAGGAGAATTCCCAAGGTTAATGCTGGTCTTGGTTAAACCTTCCATACTAATTTTTCCCCCAGGTCCTGGGGCTTGAACTCAGGGCCTAGGTACCGTTCCTAGCACTCTACCACTTGTGCCACAGTGCCACTTCTGGCCTTTTCTGAGTAGTTTATTAGAGATAAGCGTCTCATTGACTTTCCTGCCTAGGCTGGCTTTGAAACTCAGAGCTCAGCCTCCTGAGCAGCTAGGATCACAGGCATGAGCCATTTGCACTTGGCTCCCATACTATTGAGCCCCTGGGTATTTCTGTGTCCTCCTATCCATGCTGCCTTGATCTCCTAATTTCCTGCCTGTAGCATTTTACCCAGACTG